TATGTATACATTAGTCTGTCTGTGTATATGTCTGCAGGCCAGAAGAGGGCACCAGATCTCATTACAGATGGTTGTGAGCCACCATGTGGTTGCCGGGAATTGAACTCAGAACCTTTGGAAGAGCAGGCAATGCTCTTAACCACTGAGCCATCTCTCCAGCCCCCACCTTGTTTCGTTTTATACTAGTCATTTGAATCATTAGTTTCCTCCTGGTATTATTTAATATTTTATCAATCATCTTTTATCAAAATTATTTACAAACACCATTATTGTAATTATTGTTAGTGATATTACAAGTATTATCATTTCTTGTTCTTATTACACCTGCTGCTGTCAAGGCCAATTTAGATTCTAGTCCCTGAGTCATTGAGTATTTAGAATTAGTCCCTATCTCCTTTAGAATTTTAGCAGTGATTTGTCTAATGAGATGTGTCAGGGTCTATATTGACCATGTTACTCCTTGTGGGAAGGTTGATGGCATTTTCCCCCCATCTTGACTCTCCTCCACTATGCAAAATGTACATTGCATAGTTCCAACCAGATTCTTCCTTCTCATGGTCTCTCTGATCTACAGAACAGGAGACTACCAGAGTTAGAGATATTTCAGTGTGTCCTGTAATAACATGGAGCTCAGTTAACCTGGAGATAGGAACGCAAATATTATTCTTCTGTCCACACTGGTTCAGGTTCCCAAACATGAGTCTGAACATTACAATGGATAGGTTATACAGTATTTAGGAAATCCTGCTTTAAAATGGAGCTGTTGAGGCTACAGTGAGGGTGCAGTGCTTAAGAGTCCTTATTGCTCTTACAAAAGACATGGATTTCATATCCCAAAACAACTCGGTGGTTCTTAATCATCTTTAATTCAATTCCAAGTGATCTGTTACCCTTTTCTCACTTCCACAGCAAACAATCATGATGGTTATACAAATGTGCAGACAAAACATTCTGACACACAAAATAAGATTCATTAATCTAGAGCATTTTAAATTTTTTAGCTGAATTTTATTATTTGTTTTTTGTTTATTGTTGTTCTACAAAGCTTCATGTTTACTTAGTCCAAGGTTTTGGAGGGACTCCACTGTGGTTATAAAGCTGCCTAATG